TTTGGATGTCTCTAAGCTTTTTTGCTAAATTAGTCATAGTAGTTGTGAATGTGAACATGGAAGGTTCCTTGGCTTCTCATGCACACATACCAGGTTTCTAGGAGGCAGACCAACCAGGGGATTACTTGTTTGGAGTGTTCTAAATGTATGAGGTAATGCCTTTAAAAAAAAAAAAAAAAAAGAGCTAAACATTTTTTGTTTATATAAATGGTAAGACAGGGTTTTGCTATGTAGCCCAGGCTGTTCTCAAAATCTCCTGTCTCAGCTTCCAGGGTGCTGGGATTACAGGCCTCTCCTTCACTGAATATATCTTACACGCTCATACTAACATATATTTATATAAACCCAATGTTGTCTTTATTTACACTTCTAGATACCTTTTTATGTACTTGAATGTCTATTGCTTTCAGATTCAAAAAGTACATTTCTAGCTAACACTTCTTTTCTAAGGTTTTCCTTACACATCAAAGTCAGCAAGAACTGAACTTTCTGGCAATTTATTGCATGCATATGACTTTTAAAATGTCATACATGTGGACAATGTATTTTAATTCATTCATTACTCTTACATCCTTCCTGCACTGAACCTCTAAACTAGTCCCACCTCCCAGGTTAATGTCTGTATATACAATTGAGTTTAGTTAGGGTTGGCTGAATACTCAGACAGGAGGGTCAGGCACCTTACCAATGACTACACCACTGAGGAAAATCACTCCCACCCTACAGTAACCCATTTCTTAAGCCCCACCCCATGACGAAAAGCTGAGGGGCTATTGTGCAGGCAATCCCAGCCTCTGTGGCCTTGCAATTGGAACCAACGTGTGTCCAGCAGCTCCTGCCTTCCCTGCTCTCCAGCTGGAGTGTATCATCTTAGTTTGTCTGCTCTACCCGCACCCCTTTTTGCACCTGGCACAATGGAAGAAAACCTTAAATACCGTTGCTGTTATGTTCCCAGACCTGTTAGAACGCCTGTCCCTCCAGCCTAGAAGCAGCGATGTTCAGGTAATTCAGTCAGGGCCATTGACTCGAAAGGCAACTTTAATAACTTCTACCATTACTCTTTTTGGGGGAAGAAACTAAGTAAGCTTACCATGTCTTTTATGGACTATATGTTCTTCTCTCTGTAGATGTCGCCTTCCTTTAGCTCAATATACCTTATTTCCCCGAGCAGCAGCTGCATTCCCTCGGCTCCTGCAGACTTTGTAGCTATTTTTTGACACATAAATACAAGTTTTGCTAAAAATAACTATTCCTGGGCTCTTAAAAAAGTTAGAAACTACTGAAGACAAGTGCAAGGAACAGGTATCTAATGCAGGTTCTCAGCCCAGAGCATTAGGAACTGCTACACCAGCACTTACATTGAACAGGAGCCTTGGTTCTCCTTTCTACACGCCACAACCCTAAACCTTTTAAATTGTTTTGCTTTTTCGAGACAGGGTTTCTTTTGTATAGCCCCACCTGTCCTCAAGAGATCCACCGGCCTTTGCCTCCCCAGTGCTGGGATTAAAGTCATGTGCCGCCACCACCAGCCAGTACACATTTCTTAAATGTTTAAATTACACTCCTTTGCATGTGTACTTGTGGAGGTCAGAATACCAAGTTCTCTCCTTCCACCCTTTAGACTTCAGGGATAGAAATTGGGCCATCAGGCTCAGTACCTTTAACTGAGCCATCTTGACCATACAAATCCCTCTCATCTGGATACCATCCACTTCACTAGCATTAACTCCAACATACATCGAACACCACTTACCACCAAACAGCAGCTGGTCCAAACCAACGCCTGTTAGAATGCCTGGTGGGGACACTGACGTTTTTATGATTACGGTACTGAAGCTTGGCTTTTCAGAAATGTTCTGAACCAGATTCAACTGTAAAATACTTCCATCCCTGGCATCACCTACAGTTAAGTGTGAACAGACTAATTTCTGCACCACCACCCCCACACACATTGATCCAGTAAACTGGAGCTCTATTTGCAGTATCAGGTGGTGAGGTATTAACACAGTAGCTTCCCAACAGCTGGCTTATCCAGTCCTGACTAGTCCAGTAACACCCTTTTAAATCACTTACCAGTGACAGGTCTTCTACAGACTACAAAGATCAGAGTACCCTGACAGGACCTGGACCCAAGCAGGCACTAGTGTCATGGTCTCCAGAACAGCTTGCTCCAACGAAACACGTTCCCACACCCGTGCGCTCCCTGGCAATGCTAAGGCACCTGGGGCACCCACAGACTAAATATTCTAAAGGCACTCACGGATGTTCCTGCCACTGAATCCTTGGGTCAGTGTTCAATCACTGGATTTCACTGTGAAGTTGGGGGTTAAGCTTCATAAAGCAGTCTTGGCAAATGCCCAAGTATGCTTTAGAACTACTGTGAGACATAAAACACTTATTCCCCGACTCTCACCCCATACCTCCTCTTCTTGGTGGTATGGGGAAGTAACAGCTGCCAACTGCCAAGGCCAGAGGCCAAAACTCCTTTACCTCTGCACAGAACCGCTGCTCCACTTCCAACAGTCTGTCTTTTTAAAGGTGTAACTCTGGTATCACACACACACACACAAAACACTGCTGGATTCCACAACGTCCTGGCTTTATGTTATATTAACAAAACAGACATGAAGCCTTGATTTGGGACAATTAGGGAAATAAGTTAAAAACAAATTTATTATTCAAATTCCAAGGGGTGGAAAATTTGAGGTTGCAAATCTTTCTTCATCTATTGGGCACTATTCATAAAAAACATCAGTAACTAATAGCAGGTAAGTATCACAATTTCAGAATCAAACTAATTTAGCAATGTCTAATGCATATGAATAGCCAATTAGGCAAAGGTGACAGATTTCAGGTATCATTTGTAATTTACTTGAATGAGATGACATCCTGCTGTCCATAGCTTAATTCTCCTTGGACTGGGAGCTGAGGCAAAGTCAAGGTAAATGAGTTGTGAATGAAGATGCATCATGGCACCACAAATGCATGTGATTTTATTTCTCTTGAAAATACCCCCCACCTCCACTGCACTTTTACTTGAATGCAGTATTTGGGATAATTTGTCCACAAGGGCTGCTATTTCCAAATGTGATCAGATCATAATGAAATAAGCCATAGAACAGTGCTTGGGATTTTTCTCACCCTCATCATTGAGACTCACTGCCTCCCATCATCAATATTTATTGAGCATTTACAGTGTACTAGGCACAATAGAACATACAGAAAACATTGTCCCTGCTCTTGAGGAGCTTACATTCTAAAAGAAAAAAAAATACACCTCTTTTAAAATGGCATTTTTGTTTGGTGTTTTCTGTAAAGTACTGAGGAAATACTCGGTAGGTGTGAGCTTTGGGAATGACTTAGCCCCATCATTACTTGAGGAGGGGAAGAGGAAAGGTTTTCAAGGGAGACTGTGACAGACCATTCAGGGCAGGATTTCCAGGGAGATCAACACAAGCTCAACCAAGGAGAGCTGGGCTGTGGGAAGGAGGATGAGGGAGGCTGTGGGATGCAAGCAGAGGAAGCGGGGTATCTTAGACAGAGTGGAGCCAGAAAGATCATGCGGCCTTTTCCCAAATACATGGCCAACAAGTCGGAATGGAAGGTGACACGACAGAGTAAAAAGGCAGTGGTCCTGTGCACCTGACAATAGAAATCAAGGGCTGGAAATCAAAGGCGGGCTGTAAGAGCGTCAAGAACTCTCAAAAACCAACAGCGATTTGGAAGCACAGACCCTACAGTTAATGCTGCCCAGTGTCACAAGGGCCAAGGACATTGTGGCTTCCTAAGTTAGAAAACGCCGTAGACCAAAATTTTAAATGGAACACATTACCTTTTGCCAATCAATCTCCCCCTGCACCCAGAATGCAAGGTCCACTTCAGTTCTGAAAGGGGTTACGAAGGGGGAAGACTATGGGAACATGGTTGAGAACGGTAGTTACATTAGCGTTTTTGTTGATGTTGATTAAATCTGCATTCCAAATTAGTGAAAGCCCATTAGCTGCCAAGAGGGAAGGAGACAATTTCCTTTAGCGAAGTCTCAAAACCAAGACTAATTTACATGAAAAGCTGTAGAGAAAAGTAGTTGAAAAATCCATTCATAAAACTTTTATTCCACTTACATGAACTTTAATACATGTGTTCTTAACAATTATGCTTGGATTGTTCATGAAAATTTCCTAAGACATTAAGACAAAGCTAGCCGTCATCTCAAGTCATTTCCCTGTTAACTATTTTTACAGCACATGCATGTTAGGCAAGTATCAAAAAAGAAAAATCACAAAAGCAAAAAAACAAAACAAAAAA